CTTTTTTCTTTTCTTTTTTTTTTTTTTGGTAAAAATTTGTATCTCTTTCTCAGAGATCCGCGACGGTGATGCAACGAGTCTCACATGTCGGAGACGTTAGAAATAAATTACGAGGTACGTAATCGATAAACGATAAGAGAAACAGATACTCAGCATAGTCCACTGATTGTGCAGCGTACGCAGTTTACACTTTGCGTTTCATGTTACACCATTTATCGCGAATTAAATTTTTACGTATGCATATTTTGTTCCTTCTCGCTTTGCGTCTTATTCTTATATTTCCACATACGTATTCGAACTCGATAAAAGCAGGAGGAGATACTTTTATCGCGGAGATAAAAGTAAAGGCTCAACAAACTGCGCGCCCACGTTCTTCTTAAATAGAACGATATTAATTAATCAATTGTTGAACTGAACTTTTCTATCGTAACAATTTTTCTTGCAATAATAGCAGAACATCTGTTACCACTTGAAATATATAATAAAGAATATTACCGTCTTGACCATATGCAGATTTTCCGTCTCATTTTGATATCTCGCGATTGTCTTGTTTACCGTTATGTCTTGTATATTTTCACAATTTTTCTCACTATGGCACTCTTGATAATATCGGCAAATATTATTTCTTTTTATCGATTTCTATCATAAGACTGTTTCAATATTCTTTGCATACGTAATGCTATGCATACACACACACACACGGCGTTTTATTTATGTGACGTTATTTTAACACGTTGTCGATAATCTATGAAGACTTGTTAGGACAATTACACTTAACGAATGAATGTAGCGTCGAAAATAATGCAGCTTCTATTATATTCCCATTAAATTTCGATAAGGCTAGTTCTATAGCAATTTATGGGGAGGATATTGGTCTCTAATAGCAAATTGATGGTTATATCGATTAGAAATCTTGGGAACGTTGGACAAGTAAACACGATCACCGTTGACGCACTAATAGTATATTGTGACAAGTAACCTAAGTTCCACGTAAACATTGCGCTATATTCGGCTGTACAAGGTTGTTTTAAATTTCGTGAATATATTCCGGTCGCGAGTTTTTTCTAAATGACATTGATTTCTCACAATGATTTCTATGCAATTAAATATTTAATTCTAAACGTTAAAGTATGCATGCGCATAGATTAAAATTTAACTCAAATTAAACGATACAAATACTTCGTGGTGCATTCGCATTCGTAAAGCTCATCGACATGCGAGAGATCTTTCACCGTCGATTTAAAAATTAAATAAAAAAAGATTATTGCGTATGATAAATTGTCAAGACATAATTTAAACTAATAGATAAATAAAAAAATATTTGCGCGATACATTTAATGTTTAAAATTTAACAATCGTGCGAATAAAATAAATTTTCAAAAAATTCAGAACTATGGAAGATAAAAGTTTATATACGTAACAATTAGTATAAAAAACAGTATAATAAACAAATTGTCACAATTACTAAATTTTCAAAACAATATAAATAAATAGTGGATAAATAAATAAAAAGATATTGTGTTGCTCGCGCGATACATTTAACCGTATCAGATTTATTAAATAACAATTGTGCGAAAAAAATTTTTCAAAATTCGGAGCTACCGAAAATAGAAATTTATATATGTATAAACAATTAGTGTAAAAATAGTATAAACAAGAATGATAAATTTAAAAAAATTATAAATTTTCAAAATAAATAAATTAATAGCGGATAAATAAAAAGATATCCGCGCTGAGTGCGCGATACATTTAACGTAGAATATTTGTTAAACAACTATGCAAATAAAAAATTGCAAATTCGAAGTTATCGGAAGATAGAAATTTATAGGTGTGTATAGGCAATTTTTCAAGGTTGTTTTAGCAATCTATCTGATAAAAGGAGCGATAAGAGGAATGACAAGCGATCGCAAGTTTGCGACGTGAGAGGTATAGCCTCGGTACCTCGATGCGTTCCGAAACACCCTGTAGACTCACCCGCAGAGGCAGCTCTTCAGGTACTTGGAGCAATTGGCGATGCGCCGTCGCCTCGACGTCAGCTGTCTGATGCTGTCCTCGGACGGCTGCAGCAGGTAGTCGGTCTCGTCGTCATCCATTTCAAAGTCCCGCTCGTCGGAGCTCAGCCGCAACGGCATCTCCTCCAGCCTCATGGCGGAGGCGTCGAGGCGGCGGCGCGCTCTTTCGTTCCCCGTTTTTTTTTTTTTTCTTTTGTACTTTCTATCCTTTCCCTTTTCCTTCCCCGTGCGTCGCAGTTGCGGCTGGCAGTCCAGCCCTCGTCGGCACGCACCCTCGCGACGCCGAGAGACGCGAAACGCGCGGTTAACTGATGACGACACAGTCCGATAATCGTCGCCGTCTCGCGCGACCGATCGCCGCGGCGCGACGTCCGCGGTGCATAATCTTATCGCGACCGATCTCGCTCACAATCTCAGGAAGAGGGTTATCCGACGTGCGGCGTCGTCCACCGTCTGAACGTTCCGGGCTGACACGGCGGCTCCGTGATCGAGCGCAACGACGCAGCGACGGCGACGGCGACGGCGTGGCGAGACTTGTCTCGCTTGTTTACGTATCACACGCACGCGCGCGCGAACGCACGCACGTATGTACAGACTGCAGCCGGACCTGCGTGTGCATCATGGCGGTTTCGTAAGATACACGAATGGAAAACGTAAACGTTCGCGAACGTCAATCGTTCTTGAGACATTCGACGCGCTCTTGCGCGCGTAAACAATAGATAAGAATAGAACGATGTGTGCTGTTTTGTTATCACGTTTGCGCGAGAATATCTATCTCTCCCGGTATCTTGCCCTCGCATGCCGCCATCTTGCCGTCGTCCGGTTGGTCACGTGCTCGCGTCGTCTGCTAGAATCGACTGCTCGATTGCTTCCCTTTCGTGCATCGATTTAAATTCGAATTGCGCGATTTATTGACTAATAGTTTATTTGAATGACGATGCATTTTTAATTTTATGCGGTATTCTTGATTTTAGCAATGCATTTTTTATTGAATCTTCAATCGATGAATTATAATAATTTAGTAGTAGTCTTCAATCATTTCGCTTTATTTCTCCCGTTTATCTTGTATCGTATTGATAACACAATGAAGTTGACTAATTCCAGTTAGAGGAGATGTAGTTCAATGTAATAATGTTATAATGTTAATCTATTTTTAGAATATTCTGTGCTTTTTTAATCGAGGTTGATTTGATATTTCGCGGCTAATGATTTAATCGTTCTTTCCAGGGATTCGTTCGACGATCCTACTTTTAATTGCAACTGTCGGAAAAGCTGTTCACATGCAGATTGCTCGTCTCTTGTCATGAAACACACCGTCAGATCGAACCGGTTACACGCGCTTAATACGTCAAGAAGTTCTACAACTGATGTAACATCATCCATCCTTGACAAATGCTGCAGACACACGTTAATGAAATCGCCGAGGAAAGACGCTGGGATTTCTATCCGAAAGACATAACGTTGCAAACTGTGTCTACAATAAAAACACACCGCTAATACATGTGACATCTTTGCATGTCCTTTTGTGATCTCTCACCTTAGATTCCACATGTAGGTAAATTTTTCGGAGTAGTCAGCGATTGTCTTCCAAGTTTGTAAAAAGTTCTCACATGTCTCGTGAGATCTTTTCGCGATATTTTCGTTGTTATTTTTGTTGCATATTGATTCCTTCAAAGATGCATTTGAATCAGGTCTAGCAATATTGATCAGAGGATTCCATTTTACACCGATTTTAGGTTTCATGTCATCGCGATCCAGAGGTTTCAGATGAGCGCCATTCACCTGTCATTATAATTTGAAAAATTTTTTAATGAGTTTCAAATATAAACTAAACGCAATGAATACTCAAACCTATATATAGTTATGTATGATTAAACATAGTTATGTGTAATCAATGTTTCTTTATTTTAAATTTCTTAATCTTAAGCTATTTAAAACTTTTTAGAGAAAACGCTGCATTTCATTTTGTTTTTATTTTTTATTACACAACAAGTAATCCAGATTACAATCACCATCTGTTTGAAGTGCTCATATGTCGGTACTGCTTGTTCAATCGCTCGAATTTTAGCGTCGTTTTGTAATTTATATAATTCGTCGGCTACGAGAGCCGCATGTAGTTCCTCTTCCAAACCTCTATAATCTATTGGAGTTTTCAACGCACTCATTGTCGTTGTACACTTTATTTTAACACATTTCTCGTTCAAGTACTAACAGTAACATGATGACAGAACTGTTTGTTGTCATAGAAACTTCAGTTAGCTCGATATATTGACAAATCACAAATTTGCTCTAATCTATATTGCAATTCTTTTATTTCCTTCTAATTCGTAATAAAATTATATAATTTCTACAATTAATTATTAATACAAATAAATTGACAGATTCTTAAGAATAAAAATAAATTTAAAAATTAAAAATAAATAATTCGGGGACAAAAAATAGTCGTTACTTATTTAATTCCTAGTAATAATAGCTTCCGTCTCAGATAGAATCTTCTCCTTTGACATTCTGTTTTGTCTTTTCTTTAACAATCGATCGTGAGTTCTTTTCATCTCGAGTATCTCCTTCATCTCTTCCTTATCCTCTTCCTAAAATCGATAACGTCAACGTCAAAGGTCTATTCACGTCGATAACGTCAACGTGAAAGGTCTATTTCACGTCGCAGATTTAAATATACTTACAGTTTGATGTAATCGAAGAACCAACGCTCTACGACCGTCGGACATAGGCTGAGAATAATCCGTCAATTTTTTTAGTCTTTCAGCAGGACTCACGCCTCTCTCCACCACCAATACTATCCGCGCCCACTAAAGACATCGAGGCAACATCAATAACAAAGCTTAATTGCAAGGCAGCGACTTCCTGTTTTAGGTCAATTAACGTACTTGCCGTTGCCACTCGTTTCTGGTTTCAGCGATCTTCTGGTAAGTGTTGCCCATCATGGCAATCAACATATTTACGAGCAGGATCGCCACGATCGCCATGTACAGCACGAACAGCAGCTGCAATTAGCAACGATTATCGTTGTAACGCTATCCGACTGACGCCGTATGCATTTAACGCTGTTTTCTGCGAGTGCATTATTCGCAAATTGTTTAATTGTCGCTGAAACTCGTGTCTCTTGAATGTCAACTGGCGGATATGAATAGCGGATATGAATATGTCATTTATTTCTACCTGTAAGTACCGAATGCATCTCTAAGCGATGGCAATCATCAAAGTACCTTGGCCTCGAACTCGTGCTCGGTTCTGTCGAATGCGCCAAAGTAATCGCCGAAATTCGTCATGCTCATCAGAAACATTGCCATAACGCTCTCCATCGGCGACGGCATCGGATTCGAGACCGAATCGTCAATGCCTTCCGGAGTGTTTGGGTTGTCAAACGACAGGAATATGATGTAGTACGCTACGAAAAAATTAAAATTAAAATTTTATATATAAATAATAATGTTTACTATTTATATTTATATTAAAAAAATAATTTTGCTGAAATATCCAAAAGTTTGACCAGATAATTTTGTTAAGCCGTAATAATTTTGGTCAAATTGAATGTTGGTTAATAATTATAAACATTTTTGCAATATTATTATCATGTACTATATAATAATCTTGATAGCCTAACAAATCATTTACATCTAGTTAAATTTTTTGTGTATCAAAATATATTAGCCATCTTGTAGATTCAAGAAAACTGTTCCATATAACATGCGATACCTATTGCTATTTCGAGAAATATTGCGAATGTGCTGCCGGCAGTAATTAATTATCGCCACGCATGTTGCGATTTATCAGGAGAGATCGAAGACTTCCTGTTGACAGGAAGTCATTCTCGTGAACGAACAGAAGGACCATTCAAGCTGCGACGGTTCGTTTGCAAAAAGCAAGACAATATAGTGTTGCGGCCACGCTGCTGGTTGCATAACATGGCGCGTGTCGCATCATTTAACATATCTCGCGACCTTCTCAGAGTAGCGTCTCCTTCCACGCAATGTATCCCGTTCGTATGTGAAGCCTTCGCGGCCGATCGATGTGTGTCAATGTCGTAATGTCGTGTTGAAGCGACCAGTAAAATCGTCGATTAGATCACGCGTGTCCGATGCTGATACCGATGCCGTTACTCCGGCAGCTAATTAATAATCGTTGGGAATCAATAGAATAAGGCACCGACTAAGCGTTGGATAACAAGAGAACCGATCGCCGCCGGCTTCACTGACGGAATTGATGTCTTTTGTCCACGTTACACGTGCCATTATGTCTCTTCGATTATCAATTGCGATAATCAGCGACAAGGTTGTTCATTTATTATGCTCGGAACAGACTTCATTCATAGATGGAGCGTCTATCATCCGAAGTCAAAGGAACATCAAATGAATATAAAGAATCTTCTTTTTTTTTTTTGTAAACATTACCTTGGGAGAACCCCATAACGAAGACGAGGTAGATGGAGACGAATCTGAGGAGATCGCCCATAATCATCCTGTAAATCATCACGACGAATGGACCGACCGTCTTGAAGCCTCGGCAAAAGAACAAAAAGTATGGTGCGGTTGTCAGCATCACCACGACCGCCAGTATATCTTCGACCTCGTCGGCACAGGAAAATCGCAGGAATGGAAACGAGAGCAAGATGCAGCACGAGAAGAGAAACATCACACGTGACGGTGCCGTCATCTAAAAATTGTGCTCACATTAATGCATATTTTATGTTCGGTATAAATCGATTTGTTCATAGCACTTATTATTTGCTACAAGAGAGGTATTCCGATTTGAAAATTCGATTATTAAGACGTTGAGTTAGAAGGATGAAAATATGAAAATAAAAATAATTATTAGTATTCACTTTTAGTATTTCACTTTTTAATCTAATTTTGCACGTTAAAAATGATGTCTTAATTGACTCTTACAAGATTTTCAATGAACATGTTAAGACCTAAAAATCTCGCCTCTCGCAGCGCAGCGAGGATATAAAGAACCGCTGCAAAGTACATAACAATTTCCGCAGTCAGCCGAATCTTTGCACTCGTTTGTGTCAGCTCCATCAGTCTGCATTCTTCCGTGAAATCATTCCACCTATCAAATATGCATTTATTTTACTTAATCTTTTACAGTGAATTTTATTCTACGATTTTAAATTATCTTATATGTGTAAAAATAATTTTCCTGTTATTTTAATAGTAGTTTCTTTGTAATTTCTCAATGTACCAATTGTGATTATCAAATTTGGACGAAGAATCATCGATAATCATCTTGGCAGTCGCATTCATATCGGTTTTATTATACATATCCGTAAAGTCTGATGCATTTGGAGGGCTGTCTGTATACCAAAATGTATGAATGGCAGCTTCGTCAGGAGGACTCAGAATGCCCTCGTTTTCGTCTAACGTCAAGAGCAAAATGCTTTTCAAAGCTGACGTAATATTTGACGTTACTTGTAGCTGGATTTTCTCTAGTGATTCCTGCGTCACGTTTAAGGATGATTTAAGGCTTGAAGTAAAAGCCGCTACAAGGCTATTCGTAACTAATTCCGATAGATCCGTATTTTGGAGGGGTTTGAGTATCATGGATTCTGTTATATTGGAGGAATTTGTTCTCATTATTGTATCATTCGTATTTTCATCCATTTGCGGGACTGACGGGCCAGGGCGAAGGGTGAAACTAATCAGCGACAGCACGAAGTAGAAGCAGAAGAGGAAGAATTGACGGTAAAATCTAAAAATCTCACAATTTTTTCTAAACATATAATCACTTTATAATCTTATATATTAAAAGAATATATTATATAAAAGTATATTTAATTTTTTATAAAATAGAGATAGAAGATTTCTTTTATACATGGAAAATTATTTCTTCTTTTAAATTTACCGAGATTTGACGAAGGTATTCCATTTGGCGTTTAAAAGATCGACTAGCACTCCGTCCATTAACTCTAAATGCTCATCTTTGTCCTGTAATCATCGTAAAACATTCTATGTGCGTTTTATTCATACAATAAAATATTAGTAGCATAATTTATTTATTTACACCGAAAACAACCAAATTCAGGGCAGAGTTTTTGTTGATCGTCCCCGTATTAACGTCAATTGTATCTATCTGGGATAAAGGATAGGCTGCGCAAGTTATACTACCAATCTGCCAATATATCTCTCTCTCGATGTTCAAGATGTGAAAGAACATTTCGATTCTAGCCAATTTTGCTGATAAAGTCAACGGAGTCAGCTGCTGGACATTTCTAATGTCGAGAGAAGCCCCTACTTCGTAGGCCATGTCGAACGTGGCCTGTAAAATTAAATTGTGGCTCAAATACAATGAAAGAATGAATAATGTATTCTCAAAGTCCGTTTTACACTTTTGCATGTTTTAAATAAAAAATTAATCTTTGAGATTTTTTTCTGCTGTGTATTGTTAAGTTAATTACTAAATCAATTTTTCAGGCAATATTTTGTTTTGAAATGAATAAAATTATCGAAAATGCAATACTTGCCAATTTCTCGTATATCACCAGCATGTGCATTACGGTGTTCCCATTCGTGTCCTGCTTATCAGGATCTGCACCTCTGGCCAGTATAAGCCTATAACATTCTTCTTGGCCAAGACATGCGGCGAAGCTCAATGGATACTCTCCCCAGTATACGTAGCTATAATGACAATATAAGTCGTCTAATTTCATCAAGCTAGATGTATAAGACTACATTATGTTCTTGACATCACGCTTGGTGAGGCTCAAGGTTTGTTAAAATCTTTGATGGACGAGCCTGTTTGCGTATCCCGCAGAATTTAACCGTCATAATATTAGGTCACGTTTAAGCTCGAAACGAACGCTGTCCGAAGCCAATGGTTTAATTAACGATCACAATGGAGTCTTTCTCGTTGTTCCCTATTGCAGAAAAGACTGAGCTAATAGCGAAGTGCCTTGTCTTCTCCATTTTCATGAGGTGAAAGGAAGAAGGACACACGAGGCGCATGCTGAACATAAAATGACAGTTCAAATCGATCCATTTGGTAGATCATAGACAATGAATGTGTCAAACGAGATGATTTAATGGTCATTTTTAAGAAAAATGATATAACACACCCGCTATAATCGGTCTCTGATGAGACGCAGACCCACTCGTGGTCCATACTGTCAAATCTTGACGCTTTTTGGTCTTCCGGACACATGAAGTTACCGAAGCATCTCTCATGAATAATACGCGGATCGTCCGCTCCACTGTCGAGAAGAAACTTGACCAACGACGGATCCTCGTTCACAATAGCGATGTGCAAAACATTTTCTCCTAAATCCAAAGCAAACTGTTACAAAGGAACGATAACTGCAGATTTTAATTATTTTTTAATTCACAACAGTCTTTAATAATAATTTTTATATTATATTTTAAAACGTCATATCTTATTATAGTAATCTGTTTATGACAATATGTTTTGTTGCGTAACGAAATGAACGTGATCTGAATTCAAAAGTTTTTCGATTAAAAAATAATAAAAGCCGCGAGGGTTTCCATTGAAGAAATAAATGATTTACCTTGAAAATTCTAATCTCTCATTATGCAAGCGATACTCTATGAATAGATAATTTATTCAGAAAATTTATCGGGAAATTTATCAGCAACGGGTATTCTATGGACAATTTACATTTTTTTGCTGTCTCGTAAAGGAGATACAGCCTTAAGTCATAACATTTAATCCATTCTTTAATCGACGTTCGACTACTGTTTCGTAATGATTACTGGAAAACTTGAGCTTACCGTAATATTCGTCACTTATGTAAATATCATTTATAAGCTTTGGATAGAAACGCAACAGACGTTTTGCCAAATCAGCATGGATAGCAGTTGCGTTTAACATACATAAATGCAAAATGGTCTCGCCGACGGCACCTCTGTCACTTAAATTCCAACAGACCAATCTGTATTTGCTTTTATCTGTTATAAATATATTCCTTAATAAATGTGACAAAAAATGTTACAAATAAATAAATGTTACAAAAAATAAATGTTACAAAAATTATTATTTGTAAATTATTATATAACTTCGTAGATCGTAATTTTAGGCATAAATGTTTGCGTAATTCGATAATTTTTAATTAATATAATTTATATCGTAATGAAATTAAATATTAACATAATATTACCTATCTTAGTTTCATCAACATCTTCATCGCCCATATCTTTATCGATATCATAATCCGTTGGATTCTCCATAGCTTTTAATGGTGGCAGCTGTATAGTCCAAGGGAAAAAAATCGTCAAAAATACTGTCACGATAAAGAGCGTATCAAAACAGATCTACCATTTTATGCCGTGGACGCTCTTTATTTCGTAGGAGAACCAATTTTTCCACCGGTATCCATTTGCCCTTTCCTTTGTTGTATAAAAAGGGTTCGACCTTCGTTCTCATCGCGTGATCCAACTCTGCATACTGCTTGGTCTGCGTGGCCCTTTTCATCATATCCACTAACAGTCCGCCACCTGCAACCGTAGGTAGCTATATATATTTGATTGGATCAACTTACATTTTGACAGCATGAAAAACGACAAGTGAAAGGAAAGTTGTCGTTTGAATAAAATCCATCTTAATTTCGTGTGACTCAGAGGCGAAAAGAAGGAGAGAAATCGGAGTGAATTCCGGAATTCGGACTCGTGCCAGCGGTTGCGATTCGCGGTCGCGCGAACGGCACGCCGCGCGACACACATAAAATTAAATCGCAGGCGGCACGTGGACGTGGCGTTACGTCACGAGTGCAAGTATTTGGATCGTCAAGTGCCCGCGAGAGCTGGGCATTAGCACTCCTATCGTACTGACTCACGGACAATAATATGGCCGTAGCGGAAACGGAGTGCCCTCGTGGCCCTCGCGGCCCTCTCGGTCCTCTCGGCCCTCTCGAATCGTCTCGATTGGCATTAATTTCGCGAGGCGCATCGCGAACGCGCTCCACGCCGTGACGGCATTTCTATTTTCGCGATCGAAAAGCGCTCGCGTTTCCACGCGTTGGCTAAAAACAACACTCGCAATTACATTGCGCGCAATCTGTCGTCTCGTGATGTTACGGCACGCGCGATATTAAGAAGGAATCCACGAGACTTCAAAATCAACATTTTAATTTTTTTTTTTTTCGATAATACATCGAGTGTCATTGTAATAATAATAATAATAATAATAACTTGGTTTGATTGTATTTTTACTGATGAGGATGTTTTTTAAAATTACATTCGACAAACGGGAATTTCCAGCTTGCGTTCGTTTCTAATTACTGCACTGATCCAATTGTTATTCAAATGTCATTTCGCTTTTACTCAGCTTTTCATTACTTTTTGCAATTTAAAAACATAGAATTTATGTTAATCAACGACTCGACAATGTAGCATGCTGATTCAAACAGAGTCAAGAGCGAGCCAACTTACTTTTGAAATAAAAGCGTGAAATACAATCTCTTCTGTTTATTTTTTTATAAACATTTGCAGAAACATTTCACATTCGATATTTTAAGCTATACACATTTGCCATATTCGATAGATATATAATTTAAAGAGAAATAATTTTTTCTACAGTAAAATTCCTTATTCCTATTCTCCGAAAGATCTCCGTTGATATGCGATTTATGAAAAAAATCAAAGAAACATTGAGCACGATTAAAAGATCCCTCTTTCCCAAGGACTGTCGTGATCACCGCTTTCAGTTACGAAATTCCAAGAGGTCGCGGAGCGGGAGATAGGGAGAGGAAGGACGGAGAGGTCGTCGGCACATCAGAGCACATGTAACGCCATCTTGTACAGTCTGGTGCAAGTATTGCACGAGCCGTCGCGGCAATCGCTGGCGCAAGTCTGTAGGAAGAGCCTGTAACGGCTGGTGACCGCCGTCGCTGCTTGCTATTTATTGTCAGTGATTAGAAGTAGCACAGTGCAATACGGGTGTCATGGCACAGTGGAGGCAGGAGACAATATTGAAGCTGATCGCCGCGTATCGCGCGAAGCGACTCCTCTGGGATCACAACGCTCCGGACTACACCGATCGTAGCAAGAGAATCCACGCGTGGAACGAGATCGCCGACGAGGTGCGACGAGTCATAAGGTTATATGTTAACGTCACGCTCGCTGAAGCACGCTACATGATAATCAGATTCTTCCCTTCCGAGCCAGTAACACTGTGGTGAAATATCTCTTGAATTTTCGCGGATAGATCCAAATGTCGCGGGTATTAAGAAATCCCCTTTTCGTTTCGATATATAGAAAATTCAAGTTTTTACATATTGGCTCACATGGTTTAAGATTAATAAAATAAAAAAAAAAAAAAAAAAAAAAGGAAGAAAAAAAATACACAAAAGTACAAAAATATTCATTAGTATTTTGTGGTCAGTTAATAACGGATCGATAATTTCTTAATTAACGAAAAGCATTTCTTCTTGGGCCCCCTGCTGCGTTCACGTATTATCACGCAATTCGTAACGCACGCACGTGCGCGATATGCCAGCAGATTACCTATGGGCCGGGTGAAAAATATCCGCGTATCTTGGGAGTGTAGTCCAAACGAGCGTGTCCAACACTTGCGCAACGGCTTGCGCAATGCTGCCGCATCGCGAGCGCACGGGAATCTTTTATCTTTCATCTTCCGCCACTGTCATCACCTTTATCATCATAACGGAAAGCGAATTCTCGCGTTACATAGAGATGCGTTTGCGTAATGATCCATGCGCGAAAAGAATCCACGCTTCGCCTATTTATCGCCCGATTACGTGACGCGCCCTCGAATTACCGTCGGCAGCGCGCTCACGTGAACGCAAAAACGATACTCTTATCTCATTGGGGCTTCCACTCAGATCGGATGCGACGTGATGACGGTCGAGAGGAAATTGAAGAGCCTGAAGACTCACTTCATGTCGGTCCATAAAGCGTACGCGAAACGCAGACTCAAGGCTGATCTGAATTCTGGCAGTGTCGTCAAGCCTAAATGGTTCGCTTACGAGGCCTTGACTTTCCTGAATAAAGGACGCATGACGCGAATCAATCGCGAAACTCCGAACGTGGAAAAGCAGGTGCGCCGATCTTTACCGATTTATTATTATCTGTCTGCTTTCACGTCAATAGTCACGATTAGCGGGCATATAACTATAGTATATAATGATACAATACAAATGATGAAGAAATGATCATTACATTTCTGTATCTTTTTATTTATTGATTGCAAATCATTTTTTAAATTAATATTATTACACGCTATCTTTACTGCTTGTAAAATAAAATTACAAACATTTAATTAATTTTAATTCACAATTCTTTTTTCTAGAACCTCGAACCTGTCTCTAATTGGAAGCCACAGGTACACTTTATTTCTTTTTATATTAAAGCTTAAACTTAATATTACATCATAAAAAAATTGTGTAATGTCAGCACGTTATGTATTGCTATATAACGTGTGCTATGGAGACTTTTAAAATCTCGCATGTCACGTTGACAACTTTCGATCTGCACGTAAAATTTGCTTGTAGAACTCTCGGTCGAGACGGCGATACATGACTTCTTTTTTTTTTTCCACGATTTCAGGAAATTTCGTCAGATCGTGACGAATTCACGGTTTTTGCTGAGCACGTCGCCATTCGACTGAAGAAAATAACAGATATGCGTGCGAGACTCGTCGCACAGCATCAGATAAACAACATCCTGTTCGAGGCCGAGATAGGAAAGTATAACATGCAGACCTCCTTTAGTGCGAGTAATACGGAGATTATGGAGAATCTAGACGAACCCTCGACGTCGAATGAAGAGAAAGTGATAATAATAAATAACGCTTCCCATATGGCCTAAATCAGATCTTTCTTCCCATCACAGGCACGAACGTTACCTTCCGAAATTTTCAGCGGGTTATCTGCTTCGCGTTTGTGTTTTTTTTATATATCGCCTGATTTTACAGCACATTATAACAATAATGATCTCTTGTTATTTGCCACAAATAACGGTGAGAGATGAGAACCATTAAATGACGCGGCTTTCGAAGTGACAGTGAGAACATTCGACATATCGTCGAATCTGTCGATGTAGTCAAACGTGACTATATTATGTGCCTTCGTTTTGCTAGTGTATCATATGCTTTGTCATTACAAATCAGGAAAAGTAGCTTTCGACTCGATTAATATACGTTGACGTATAAAACATAATTCAAAATTCGATGATGTCATGTTTTTATTTTTTTTATTATTATGATTACTCTTTTGAATATGAATTGAAATAAAAGTAATATATACACGCACATAAATTTTTTATATATATATATATATATATATAAGTGAACTAAATTGAATGTTAAATTTTATTACTTTGTAATTTATTTTAACAAAATATTATTTTACGATAATCAAACCTGATTTTTAATTGTGAAAATTGAATAAATTGATTGTAACATATATATATATTTAATTATTTCGCTTACCATTCAAGTTGACTAATTTATAGAGCAAGATGGACGACGTGTCCGTTTGTTTCTTCACGCCGCTCGTAACATTGCTCTCGGTATTACCCATTGTTTATGGACACTTCACTTTCGTTTAAATATCTGTACAGGAGATGAGCTCTCGTATATCGAATATACGGCACGGTGTGCGACCAAAATTGATAAACGCGTCTATTTTGTTGCCAGGATACCACAGTCGATTATCGATTAAATAAGCAAACACCTTTTGCTTTTAAACTTACAAAATTCGATATATCCAATTTACACAATTTATGATACTTTTTACTCTACTCATCACAATCAGATTATAAAGAGAATATATAAATTTTCTTCGTTTATCGTGAAGAAAGAGACCGGCTTATCTCGGAAAGGAAAACCGCAGACTGATCCGCAAATTTGACGGCGGAAAGAATAAATTGCCAGAAAATTTGATAGCCATAATCTGCTATGCCCAAATCTGCAGAACAAGAATTGCAATTTAATTATCATTGATAACACTATAAAGCATATTTGACGCAACCGCGACAATTCATAAATTCATCAAATGAATAATTAATCGATCGATAGCGAGACTAAATGACATACAATAAATACATGGTGAATTACGTAGCAACAATAAAATAATTTAGCGGTGTTTTTCGCGTCGAAATAAATTCAATCGCACCGCTTCGGTGACATCGATGTTATCATTTAAACGCGATCGCGTCTTAACAGCTTAAGTAACTTCTCCAAGGCACGCGCTTTATTTGTCCAGCCGAGTAAGATACGAATTAAGGTTGACAGATTTATAAGTCACGGTGAAGATCAGTTATATCTCATGTCGCACAGATCATCGCTCTCATATATAATTGCACCACCATCAAAGAACGTAAAGTTCGTGAGAGATCATTGGCAAAAACGTTACATCGTTTAGGCGTGTCTCATCCATATCGTATCGTAACAGAGAGGTTTCGATAACAAGTTAGAAATAGATCGATAAACGGCGAATTGAGTGACGGTGTCGCGTAGGTATGCAAATTTTCTCGAACAATAGGCAAACAATCTTGATACTTTCCTTCCCCCGAAACGCTACGAGTCTCTTTTGTCACGCGCGTTTTGCTCGGCTGGAGACCTAAAGCCGCGAGTGATTTTCGCACATACCTAAGCAGTGACTGCGTTTTAACTTAGATTCGAATGCTTCAGACATACATCATAATACTGCAGTTAATCTTACGCAGGTTTTATTTTTTACTAGCCTCTATTCAAGACCGTTTCCCCGGGAATTGCTTTCGCATTGTTTCGGGAATAAAAGAAAGCTTATGCATTGGACTTGCGAAGGTGAATTTGGAGAAATTTGAATCTTTAATCTCTTGTTTAGTAGATAGGCTCTTTAACTGAGCCGTGTCGTCTAAATTGATTTTATGCGTTAAGCAGTTATAAATACGCTTATATGTCGTTGCCACATTTACTCTGACTACTGAGAACCGGTGGTGTACACGAACGTATTTACAATACCTTGAGCAGGAAATTAGATTCTATTATTGTGTCGACGGTCTAGGACAAGACGAATTCCATTTCGAATTCGAATGCCTGCGACGAGCCGAGTTCGAGTTGCAACTTCAGCGAAGTATTCTAAACCTGTCTATATTATATACAATAGATACTTATTATATATGTGTATATCTGTACAAATTTGTGAGATAGCAGATTAATAAAAATATATTTAATAAAAATATTTTACTAATAATAATATTTATCAGAAAAATTCTTTCTTGCGCAATTATTACGGAGACATTTCTTCTTTTAAAAAATTTCCGAAAAAAAGAGCTTAATACATAACAGTTTTTATTCCTTTTTTTTGTACATTTCATTTTTCTCCTTTTTCTCAAATGAGCTGATTGTATGTCTGTTTCAATTATATGGAAAATATAATATGGCGCAATTAAAAAGAATCAACTTATAATATGTTTGTTATAATATGGAAACAATATAAAATTAAAAATAAAAAAAAAGACAACCCTGTAAAGGCCCCGGAGGGATTCGAACCCTCGATCTCCTGTTTACTAGACAGGCGCTTTAACCAACTAAGCCACGGCGCCTGAGTGACTTCAGTTTTGTAATAGAGAAATATAAATTATTGATCAAGTAATATTTTCTTTTAAAAAATAACGATTAAATATAAATTAATTTTATTTATATAAAAAATAATATGCAAAATAATTATCAATTTATCGATTAGTATTCATTGCCTCGTTTATTGCTTGATTTGAAATATAAGTAATATTTTAGAAGACGTGGATTATAATAAAAAAAAACATATAAGCGTTCTGTCATGATACGAGTGCCTATATATATGAATTACATTGTTAAAAATTTATGGATACTTAAAAACAGTCCTCCTGCATGCGACCCACATTTTTAGGGGCATTAAATTAACTTGCAACACGACAGAGAAAAGAAAAGAAAACGAAGCGGCCAATCTATTTGTGAAATTGAATATATGGACGCGCGCGAAACGCTGCAAGCTGCTGCTTGCTGCCCCGAAACGAGGTGTAACATAATCAAAGTGAAATATGGGTACGCGCGTTAAACAAACGACTGACTGAAAGGAAATGAGAATTTGAAGTCCCGTTAAAACTCGACAGAGAGAAATATATACGCGAAAAAGGAAAAAATTGCTCTCTTTCGATCGAAATCATCGCAGTACAAAAATATTTCAGAGATGTCTCAAAATGTTTCAGTAGATGGAATAAAAGCATTAGGAACATTGCAAAAAATTTTTGCAACAGTTCTGAAACAACTCTGCCACAATAAAATGTCTGCGATTCTCGCATTTGAAACGTTATAGAAAAGTAATTGAAAAATTTATATCTAAAATATTTTAGAAAAATTTCAGTTATTTCAATAATCTTTTGATAATATTTCAAAATATTGCAGATCTTTCTAAAGGTTAATTTCTGTTTCAAGTGCAGAAATATTTTGCAATGTTTAAGATGTTCCATCAGATAAAGCATTTTTGAAATATCCTTGAAATATTTCTGTGCTGTATAAATAGCTTTCCTGCTGGAAAGATACAATCACATCTTGCACCAAGTGCAGACATAAAAAACTTTTTGAAAACTTTTGTAATAATCGGTGCTATATGAATGATATTACTGAATTTCGAGTTTTCTGACGTTACGCGAAAATACGTAAAGATGAAACTTTGATTATATTTGAAGTCAAACTGATCAATTCCACGTTTGTCAATTTATCGACTTTAACATCGTCGATTTACGATTTCATCAATTTTCATTTTTTACTTTTTACTCTATGAAGTTGATCGGTTTAATTTTCGAGAGGTTTGTTTATTTCCTTGCGTTTCTGCATGCGTGGAAAATTTAAATCGTTAGAGTTACATCAGTTTTCGACTCCTACATGATGTTTATCGTTGCGTAATTTTTGGTGAGCGTTTTAACTTTCTGATATATACGGATGACGACAGATGCGGAATTACGTTGAGATGCGGAATTATATTGAAATCCTGTGCGAGCATCGTGTCATTATAAGCGAATTAAAAGGATGAGTTATTCCCGGATTAAAATGCAGAAGCGAATGAAGTGAAGAAAAAGGATGATTACCAGCAATACGCAATTAGCGCCAATACGATCTGAGACATGAGAGTGGGATCGCCGCTAGCATTCCTCGATTCGCAAGATTGACGTAATCTTATCTCCCGATTTTATCTCATTACGTAATTAACAGGGAGACAAGAAGTTAATGTGCATTTTACATGTCGATCGAAGATAATCGTTAATTGTATTAAGGCTGATAAGAAGTACTGTGAAGTCACACGATAGTGTGCTACTTTTTTCTTGATATATGAAGAAACAATATCCAATTAATGTAACAAGACGATTAACATGCTATAATGGACGACATGTTAAAAATCACGTGTTTTAAACAATAGATTTTAAATGGAGCACAAGGTATTTATAAATATAGTCTCTAGAAGAACGATCTCGCAAGAAGTGGCTCGTTGGTCTAGGGGTATGATTCTCGCTTAGGGTGCGAGAGGTCCCGGGTTCAAATCCCGGACGAGCCCGTTTTTTTTTCTTATTGTTTTTTCCTTTTTTTTTATTTATTAATTACTGTTCGAGATTTCATCTAAATTATCTACGTTTTTTTTTCTGTATTTATATGCAGAACTTGTGATATTTATTGAATTTAAATATTTTTGGAAACAAGGCACATATTTTCTACTTCACGTATAAGAGATATATGATAAAAAATATAATAAGAATGCTTACAGGAGAATGTTTTATACTGAGATTCCATTTATTTGCTGGGAATCCCTGAAACAGGAGATTAAATGTCGCAATTCTCGTCAAATGGCATCATTAACGGTTGTCTCGGGGCAATTTCCATGGATTAACATCTTCCTTTTTCCACTCAATGTCGTTCCGAAACAATGAATAATTAAGGCTGAAGTCAATCGTTATAAATAGCTTCGCCGGCTTTAATCGGCGAGGATCGATCATCGCAGCATACTCGCGATATTAATTTTCAATCGCTCGTGGCATACATTATCTTTATCTCCTAAATCGGATCTTTAATATGACACACTGATTCTCCGCGCTCTAATCGAAGTCATTGCGATTTCGTGAATCACCTTCTGAAGTAACGTGGATAGCTGCGCTCTGTTTGATTAATGCGATCGATTTTGCACGTCCGAGCAATTTATTTACATTGCGTTTCTGCCGGCATTCTCAGCGAATTCGTCATCGCAATTAAGCCATCAAG